GCAAAAGGCACATGATCCTCATTTTACAGAAAATTAAGCTGGGACATGGAAACGTTAATGTTGAGATTAGAGTTCCATAAATTATGAAGTCTGGATCCAGACCACAAGTATGTTTTGTTGAGACCACATCAAAATGCCTCAGTGTTCAAAGTACTGACATCAGCAGGAGTGTCAAAGCTTTTAGCACTGATAAAGCTCAGCACTTTCAGCTGTTTTCTCTGTCATGGGGCTATCAACGGAGCCTAAGATGAGGACAGGAGGTTAGCACTTGTCTGCCAATAGCTCTGGTAGTGTCTGGCACTGGAAACCAGAAAGAAGAATCACCTCCCATTAGAAAGCACTCCCAAAAACTTGTCTACAGGTCATGTAACTGCTGTGTGGTCTGTGAATCTGCCTTAGAGAACCTGTTGTTTTCTAGACGCAGGGGTGAGTAGGAAGTGCTGCAGTGAGGGTGGCTGTGGAGAATGCATGTGAGATTGTGTCTGGAGTTATGGAGATGGAAGGGCTCAAGGTACTAAAGGGCCATGGAGGGCTGATGGCATGAGTGGGGCAAGAAAAGGAATCACAGGTGATTAGTGGAAGAGAGAAAGACTGGAATGTGGGGAAAGGCAACAGTGAGGAAGGGAGTAACCATACTACAATGTGATAATTCTAAGGTAAGAGAAAGGATTAACAACCATGAAGCATGGGCTCTTTGCCTTTTATTGGAGTATTTTTTCAGCCTAGAGTTTTGTACTTTGTTTTGAAGTCATAAATGCTAGAAACATATCTAAAAATAAGTACAGCATTTCCTCATCAGCTGCCTTGACAAGTTGGGGCACGAGGAAGAACATGGAAGAGAGACTTGGTGGAACTATGAGTTGGCAATTCTGCAGTAGCAAGAGAGAACAGGAGACGAAACTGTGCATTTATAAACCTATAAGGTCTACACTGCTCTAGAGTAGTCTTCTTACCAAACAGCCTCTACTTTTGTGTCTGTGTTCTCCATTCACTTCCCCATCCCCCTCATCAGCTCTGTTATTTCAAGCTGCTGTTTGACAAGTGGTAGTAAACACTAATGAGTACTTCCAAGCGGGATAAAAATAAATGGCATGAAGGACAGGCAGCAGCAGCGAAGGTGACTGCAGCTTTCATTACACTGCGAGACAAGCTGATTTCTGTGATGTGCTGGCACTCTCGGTTGGGAGCAAACTTGGAGCCCTGGTTGTGTCCTGGAGCAGCCAGCCCAGGGCCACTGCCAGCAGGTCCTGCAAGTCCCCTGCAATCCCCGAATTCGTGCCAGCTCAAAGAGCACACTGAGGCTGCCCAGCAGCTGCACTGCTCTAATCCCTACCTGCTACATTAAGGAATTACAGATATAACAATATTTCAAACAATAACCATACTGTGATACCTCGCAACAGCCTTCAAATGGCTTTAGAGATGTGGGTCAACCCTCCCGCTTCTGTTTTAAAGTGGGAAACTCTTGAGGCATTGATATGTAAAATGTCTTACTGACTTGGCATATAAACCACAGCCAGTAAACCAGGAGCACAATCCTATCCTCTTGACTGGTGTTCTAACCCTAAAGAGGGGCCGTTTGGGTGCAAGATAGCAAGTTTACGGTCAGGCAGCCTAAGGGCAGAGTTGGCATGGAGGAAGAGGGGAAATTCACATCCAGGTTTGAGTAGGTGGAGGGAGAGGAAGGCAGAAGGGGCATCCTGGGAAGGTCAGAGGAGATGTGGGGTTAGTAGACATGTCTGGATTAGAAAGCTGCAGTGT